CCACCATCGGGAACCAATCCGTCTTCAACGTTTCAGCCACGTCACTCTTCTTGGCCAGCACGTACACCCAAGTCATGCGGGTGTAGACGTCCACAATGGTGAGGAAGTACTCTGCTCCAGCAGCTCCAAGCTTCAGGGGGCCCACCACGTCCATCACCACTTCATCAAGCGGTGCCTTTGCCGTCGTCTCCGAGCTCGAGAACGGAAACCGCGTGAACTTGGCTTGCATGCACGTCGGGCAGCCAAGCACCTCATCGGGCTCCCCCTTCACACGTATGCCAGCTACAATCTGGTTCTTTACTAGCTGCTGCAAGATGGGCAGGGCCACATGCCCCATGCGCCGATGCAAAGTCAACCAATCACACTCCCCCGTAGCCGAAGTCGGATTGGAGAATGCCGCGCTCGCAATAGCGCCCCACACACTCTCTCCGTACTCCTCCTTCGCTGCTGCCTCAGGGTTCTCCTCACCCTTGTGCTGCTCCTTGGCTGCTGCACCACTCTCCTTATGGTCACACAGCTTGCTGGTCCCACCAGGTTTGGTCTTCCTGAGCTCGTTCTCCTTAGCGCGGCCGTTCGCGCCATCGCCGCTACCAACCGCTTCACCCTTGGTGCTGACGCTTGCTGCCACTTGCCTCTCCTTAGGCATGGGGACCACAGGGATCTGCCACATCTCGTTGTAGACATCCCTGTCCTCATGAAGGTCCCAAAGAATCCGGTCGCCAATCCTTGCGGTGTAGGTCTTGGCTCCCTTCGAGTTCGTGTCCATGCCGGCCTTTGCCAACCGCCGCACGGAAATCAGGTTCGCAGCAAGGCTGGGCACCCAAAGCACGTTCTTGAGGCCCACCATCTTCCCATCAGCACCCTTGAACATGGCCTTGCCCATGCCTTTCACCTCTGCTCGCTGCCCCAAAGCCGATGTGACGTGCTTCACCGGTGACGGCTCGAGTTCGGTGAGCAAGTCGGGGCGAGGTGTCATGCTATAGGTAGCGCCGCTATCAATCACCCAAAAGTCCAGGGGGTGTAGGGTCACCTTCCCCACAGCTGCTGGCTCCTCAAGGTCTTCATCCTTCTCTGGACCAGCCGGTACTTGCGTCGACACGAAGTAGAAAAGGCCCGGGTACCGATCGTCGCTCGGGTCCTTGTCGTTACCGCCATTCTTCATGTTCGCGGCTCCACCTCCGCGACCACCACGGCCTCCACGGCCTCTTCCTCTCCCTCCTCCTGCTCCTCTATCCTGTTGGCCTTGAGCAGGGGTCCAACCATCAGGAAGCTTGAAGCAATCGCGCCACATGTGTCCGCTCTTGTGGCAATAGTGGCATTCGCAGTCAAATCGTCCGCGACAGCGACCGTAGCTCTTGTCTCGCTGCCGTAACCACCACTTCCGCGGCCTCCACTGAAGTTGCCGCCACCAGATCTTCCTCCCCCTCGTCCTCTGCCTCTTCCTCGGCCATATCCACGGCCGACGCTCGCTGCCCCAGCGCCATCCGCACTCGCCAACTCACGGCGGCGGAAGTCCTCTTGTAGGATCGCGCGCTTCACGTCTTCAAGCGAGAGACGGGGCAGATCACGGTTGAGGTTAATGATGAGCGAGGACCACGACTCGGGGAGTAGGGCCAGCAACTTGGTCTTCTTCTGGAGCTCACTATAGTTCAAATCAGCTCCCTCAAGCCGCGTCAACAAGTCGAAGAATTTCTGCACCCCGTCTTCCACGGGTTCATCTTCCTCAATTCGTGGCATTGCCATTTGCCGTTCCAACACCACAGCTACCGCCGCTGTTGCAGGAGCGTGTACACCCTTGAGAGCAGCCCATGCCTTTGGTCCCTTCTCTGGTTCACGCTGGAAAGGCTTGATGTGACGGATCTGGTTGCTCCCCAACGCTTGCCCAAGTAGGAGATAGCCTTGTGCGCTCTTCCGCACCCACGGGCTCTTCTCCGGGTCGTTCTCGGGACGCTTCTCCGTTCCTTCCATCACCTCCAGCAGATCATAGTGATCAAACACGTTCTCCATTCTGAAGGACCACTCAGCAAAGTTGTCGCCGTTGAACTTGTCGAGCCCGAACACTCTTGGTTCGTCCTTAGAAGGTCCAAGAGTCGGTTGCACGGGCGCCACGGCTGAATCACGGGCTTGGCCTTGTGCTTGGGCTTCTCCATTGCCTCCAGCACCTCTGCCACCCCTCCCATCAGGTCCAGCCATCGTCGTAGCTGCTCCAAGGCGCTCTGATACCACTTGTTATAGTCACAATAGGCTCCAATAGGCTTCAATGTGCCTAGAACCAAAGATAGAGTGCGCAGTCAGGTTTCTGCACAGCGGCTTTAAACATTCATAGCGATCTGCTCACAATTCCAATTGACCTAATTCAACTTGGATCTGGAGCGTCTTAACGTCGCCTACAATAGGCAATTTAGATCGCATGATTTCATCAAGAATTGACGAACGGCACTATGGCAGCAACATAGTCTTAGAACACAAAGTTACGAACAGCTAGGAAGAGTTGAGAGTTGGGAAGGACTCCCAGCTCCTACAAACCCCAAGAGCCGAGGTACAGTGATGGGGAACAGTGCCACACTGTCCCCAACCAAGAAGGGTCTCGAAACTACCCTTCACAAGGGCCTACACCAACTGAAATGTTACACTACACTTTGTAATGTAACTATCTTCAATATCTTGAGGTGTAGCCTTTTGGCGAGCTTCGAAAACACTTGAAGCTTGAACCAAGGCTCGGGTTCTTCACCACAAACTCATCCTTGAGTTCTTGATGGGTCTGCTGCACACACTTGCGACACACCGAACGTTCGACAAGCGACAAAATAGAAACCGCGCGGGACACACAAAATGACCGCGTTGCACGCGACTAGCGATAATTCGCTATTGACTTGACACACACACTCGACATCATGACCCATCATTCACACACCATTATAAGCATGAAATATATATTTATTTCATGCACTCATACCACTCCATGCACACACACGCACACGGACAACAAGCCGAGTGCAAACCGTAGGTTGCACCAACAAACTCCCCCTCGGGTTGTTGGCCTTAGGAACTTGCTCTCTCAGTTCAGAGCCATCCCAGCCAGCTTGCAACACTTCCAATGCTGCTGCTCCACCAGCCTCTTAGTCATCATGTCTGCCGGCTGCCCCGTCGTCTTCACGTAGCGCAACTCGACTTCACCCGCGGCCACCATGCTCCTCGTCCAGTGCCACTTCACCCTCATGTGCTTTGTCAGGCCATGCAACACGGGGTTCTTGGCTAGAGCAATGGCTCCCTGGCTATCACAACAGAGAGGGGTAGGTCCTTGCTGCTCCTCCCCCAATTCAGCCAGCAAACGCCGCTGCCACACAATCTCCCGTACGGCACGGAAGAGTGCCATGTACTCGGACTCCACCGAGCTCAATGCTTGGTCCACCTGCTTCTTGCTCTCCCAAGCAGTTGGGCCTCCACCAACACAGCAAATGAACCCTCCAACACTTGTCATGTCCTCTGGTTCTGATGCATAGGAGGCATCCGAGAATGCGGTGAGGAACAAACGCCCGGGTTTTACACCATCCGCGCCCTTTTGACGTCTTTGTGCCGCCGCCGAGTATTGCAGCCCAACGGTCGGTGTTTGGCCAAGATACTTGGCCACCCTCATTCCAGCTGCTATCTGCTCCTCATTAGGGCATTGTACAATCCTTGCCAGCTGCCCGGTAGCAAAAGCAACATCCGGCCGTGTGTTGACCGCCGCGTACATGAGGCTGCCCACCAATGAGTGAAAACGGCGCCTCTCCTCTTCACCCACGCTCTCCTCCTCTGGTCCCTTCACACACTTGAACCCAGAGGGAAAGGGTGTAGCCACATGGCCTTCATTCTGCCCAAAGTTGGCAGCCAATGCCTCCAGGTACTTCCGTTGGTGCACCCGCATGCACCGCTTCTCCACATCACGCTCGATGTGAAGCCCGAGGTAGAAGTTCACGTCCCCAAGGGACTTGCACTTGAACTTGTCTTGCAGCTTCAGCATCACCTCCTTCACAAGGTCAGAGGAGGGTGAGAAGATCAGGATGTCGTCCACGTAGACCACCATGAAGCTCCTCTGCTCCCCCTCGCCAAGCATGAACAAGGAATGATCGGCCGTTGAGGGAGTGAAGCCGATCTCCTCCAACACTTCACGCAGCTTCAGGTACCATTGTCTAGGGGCCTGATTCAGGCCATAGAGGGCCTTCTTCAGCTTCCACACTCTGCCGCTGCCATCGTCAAACCCCTCTGGCTGCGCCATGAAAATCTCCTCCTCGAGGATTCCGTTGAGGAACGCCGTTACGATGTCTAGCTGCTTCACCACCCAACCTTTGATCGCGGCTCCCGCGAGTAGGGTTCGCAGCGTCGTCGGCTTCACCATAGGAGCAAACAGCTCCTTGTAGTCCACATTCTCCTTCTGCTGGTACCCCTTGGCCACCAGCCTAGACTTGTAGCGCTCGATCTTGCCGTCGGCGTCGGACTTGATCTTAAAGAGCCATTTGGACGTAATCGCCGTACGCCCCTCCGGTAGCTCCACCAACTCGTACGTGTCGTTCTCCTCAATGCTCTTCAGCTCACTCTTCATTGTCTTCTTCCACTCCTCAGCATCACTACTCTCCAAGGCCTCCTTGAGAGTTGCTGGTTCTCCCGGCATCTCCACCGGAGAGAAGAATGCGAAGGCACACTCCTCGTAGTCACTCTCCTCGTCGTCTCCGACCATCATTGCCGCTCCAGCTAGGGCCGTCTTGCCCTGCTTCCCCGGCGCATCATAGGTCAGCCTATTGGGGGCTTGAACTTTCCTCTTGACCCTTCCTTCCTCCTCAGCTGCAGGGACTTGAAGGCCTTGGCGTTGTTGCGGTGTAGCTCGGTTCCATGGAGCGCTCGTAGTGCGGGAAGGGAGTGTCGGTGCACGCTCGCTCACTTGCTGCACCTCCTCCTCCTCTTCTTCCTCTGCATCCTTGGCCTCCTCTCCCCCATTCACAAGAGAAGATTGCCTTGTGGCGATGCAGGAGGCCGAGAAGTCCACGGAGCTACTGCTGTAGGCGAACTACGTCGCCCCGGCGAAGCAAGGTAGCCGACCAGGGCAGCGCGGCAAGCCTGGCAGCGGTGGTAGCGGAGGTGGGAAGCCGGCCAAGGACGCCGACAAGGGTAAGTCGGCGAAGGAAGGCGGTCGCGGAGGAGGAAGTCGGCGTCGGGAGTGCTGGATCTGCCACAGCCCCGACCACCTCTCCTTTGAGTGTCCCGACCGCAGCGGGTCCGACGACGACGACGCCAAGGGAGGCCGCGGGAGGTCGGATAGCCGTCGTCCACGTCGAGGAAACCAGCCGCGCAAGGAGAAGCAGTCGAACAAGTCGACCTCGGCGAAGGACGCCGACTCCTCTGCTAGCGGCAAGGGGCGAGGCGACGGGGAAGCGTCGTGCTCGCTGGTCGGCGTCGTGGAGCCGACCGTCTCGCTAGCACCAGAGGCTGGTGAGGATTTCCAGGCGATGGCAGCAGCCGTACAGGCGAACCCGGCGGTGGTCCTGCTGGACAGCGGCTGCTCGCACCACCTGATGGGGACGAAGGACGTCTTCGTTGACATGAGGCCGGGCGGCAACGTGAAGCACGTGAAGCAAGTGCGCGGCTTCAATGGGGCGTTGCAGGACGTTCGCGGCCGTGGCACGGTTGCGCTGCAAGGGGAGGCCGGGAAGCGTGTTCTCAACCCCGACGTGCTGTACGTCCCGGGCGTGCACGCGAACCTGCTGTCGGCCGGTCAGCTGAAGGAGAACGGCGTGAAGCTGAAGGAGGACGGCGACGGCATGCTGCTCGTCTCGGCGACGGGCGACGTGCTCGGTCGAGCAACGTACTCCGGCCGGGTTCTCTGCACCGACCTGCGTCCCTGCCCGGCGATCGATGTCTGCGGCGGAGGAAGTGGCCCTGCGGGCAATCGTCTCGGCGACTAAAGCAACGCCGGACAGGCTGCACGCGAGGCTCGCGCACGTCGGCATGGATACCATCCTGAGCTCGGCGAAGCACGAGGTTGCCACCGGGCTGGACCTCAAGTCGGCGTCCAGCGCCACTTCGCCCTGTGTCTCGTGCGTCGGCGGGAAGCTTGCGCGGCACTCCTTCCCCGACAAGGAAATGGACGCCGAGGACGCCTTGGCCGTCGTGCACATCGACCTGTGCGGGCCGTTTTGCGTGGCCGCCATGGATGGCAGCCTGCACTTCCTGCTTCTGAAGGAACGCAAGACCCGCTACGTGTGGGTGAAGCCGGTCGCCAAGAAGTCCGACGTGCTGCGGGAGTTCCAGCAGTGGCTAGTGACGGTCGAGCGGCAGGTGAAGAAGTCGGTGCTGCAGCTCCGCTCTGACCGGGGCGAGGAGTTCCTCGGCAAGGCGTTCACCGCCTTCGTGGATGGCAAGGGAATCGTCCACGACCTGACCTGCCCCTACACCCCACAGCAGAACGGCATGGCTGAGCGGGAGATGCGGACGGTGGTGGAGTCGGTGACGGTGATGCTGCTGCACATGGGCGTGCAGCACCACTGGTGGCACCTTGCTCTGCGGCAGGCCGTCTGGGTCCGCAACTGCCTGGAGCGGTCAGCGACGCCGGGGACGACGCCGTACCAGCTGCTCACCGGGAAGAAGCCGGACTTGTCGCTGGCCCGCGTGTGGGGCTGCATGGCGCAGTTTCTCGTCCCCGAGCAGCAGCGTGGTGGGAAGCTGAAGCCGAAAGCCCGGTGGGGCCTTCATCTCGGCGTATCGGAGGAGAGCAAGGGATGGGAGCTCCTCGACATCGCTGCCAACCGGGTGGTCACCACGTCGGACGTGGTGTTCTACGAGGACATGTCGCTGGAGGTGTGGAAGTCGGAGCACGGGAAGGTGTTAGGACGAACGCCGACCACCCCACACCAACCAACCTAAACACCAACACGACGCTGCCTCTGCTCGCCGAGGTCGGTAATCTTGCTGATGAGGACGCCGAGGTCGTCCACCCTTCCCCTGCCCCTCCCCTCGTCGCCGACCTGCATGGGCTGACTCCGGCGTCGGCCTCCGGCGATGAGGGGAGCGGTGGGGCGTCGCCTGTGGCGCCGACCAAGAGCATCGCCGGTGGCCGACGTGACGTCCCGCAAGTCGGCCTGGAAGCGAAGTCGACAGAAGGGACGCTGGGGAAGCAGCACGCTGCAGCGCGGCCGACCCAGGAGTAGTCAGCGACCTGGCAGTCGGCAGGGGAGCTGACCACAGGGGAGAAATCGGTCGGGACGCCGACCGAGGTGCAGCAGGGCGAGCCGACCAAGGTGCAGCAGGACGCCGAGGACAGTGAAGCCGGCGAAGCTGAAGGGGAGCAGTCGGACGCCGGGCAGGCTGCCGGCAGTGACGAAATGGAGGTTAACCCCGAGCAGCCTGCACTGCGGCGTTCAGGCCGAGTCCGGAGGCCGCCGGAGCGGCTAACCTACCATGTCTGCCTCCCGGCGGCCGCCTTCACCAAGCTGTACGACAATGACGACGACGACCTGGCGTACGACGACGCCGAGGACGACGAGGAGTTTCCGGAGCTCGACCCTGACATGCACGCCGACCCCGAGCACCGCTGGGATATCGCGACGATGACGGTGAAGGAGGCGTTGGCGAGCTGGAAGGGCCCGGCGGTGAAGGCCGCCATGGAGGAAGAGATCCGTAGTCTGATCGGCAACGGCACGTGGGAGCTCGTTGAGCGGCCCCCCGGCGTGAACATCATGAAGAACCGGTGGGTGCTGATGACGAAGTACCGCATTGATAACACTGTGGAGCGCGAGAAGGCGAGGCTGGTCGTGAAAGGCTTCACGCAGGTGTATGGCGCCGACTACGACGAGACGTATGCGCCGGTGAGCAGCTACGTCACGCTGAGGATCTTTCTCAGCATCGTCGCCGTCCTCGACCTCAACCTGATGCAGCTGGACATGAAGAACGCCTTCCTGCAGAGCAAGCTCGACCGCGTGCTCTACATGTACCAGCCGGACTACTACAACGACGGGACCGGCCGGGTGTGTAAGCTGCTGAAGAGCCTCTACGGGCTGAAGCAGTCGCCGCTGTTGTGGTACAAGGCGCTCAACGACGTTCTGATCGGCGCCGGGTGGAGGAAGAGTCAGGTCGATGAGGCACTGTACTTCAAGGTTGGCGCCGAGAAGGTGGCATGCTGGGTGCTGGTCTACGTCGACGACCTGCTCGCCGCCAGCAGCAGCACCGCGATGCTGAGGGAGCTGAAGGAGCTGCTGGAGGCCGCCTTCGAGCTGCGCGAGATCTCGCCGGTGCAGAAGTACCTCGGCCTGGAGATCGTGCGCGACAGGCCGGCGAGGAAGCTGTGGCTGCACCAGCAAGGCTACGCCGACAAGCTGCGTAGGCGTTTCATCGACGAGGAGCAGGGCGGTCGGACCCCGAAGACGCCGGTCTCGGTCGACGCCTACGCCGAGCTCACCTTCGACGACGAAGAGGCGCAGGAACGCGAGAAGGAGGAGTACCGGCAGAAGGTCGGCTCGCTGCAGTTCGCGGCGACGACGACGAGGCCGGACATCGCCTTCGCCTGCAGCAAGCTGGGGAGCGGCCTCACGGTGAGGAGCGACCAGCACTGGCGCGAGGTCGACCGCTGCCTCGCCTACCTCGCCAACACGCGCGACACCGCCCTGGAGTTCGGCGGTGGTCCGGAGACGCTCGAGCTGGTCGGCTACGTGGACGCCAACGACGCCGGCGACAAGCAGAACCGGACGAGCACGGGCGGCTATGTGTTCGTCTACGGAGGGGCCGCGGTCTCCTGGTCGAGCCAGCGCATCAAGTGCGCGACGCTGTCGTCGACCGAGTCGGAGTACGTGGCGGCCGTCGACGCCGGGAAGGAAGGACGCCGACTTCGCTTCCTCCTGGCAGAGTTCCGGCAGCTAGACGCCGCCGACGGTCCTTCACGTGGACAACAAGTCAGCCATCACAGTCGCCGAGGGCATGGGGTTGACGGGCAACCTCAAGCACATGGAGCGGCGACAGGCCTGGCTGCAGCACATGGTGAAGCGGGGAAAGTTTTCGCTGCAGTACATCCCGACCGCTGAGCAGCCGGCCGACTTCCTGACGAAGGCGCTGCACTACCCGGCCTTCAACCGGTGCTCCGTCGCGATCGGCCAAGTGCGCCTGGCCGAAGTCGGCGACGGCGACGACGTGCAGCAGTAGGTGCCATGCCCTCTTGCATGGCTGGTGCGGTGTCCGGCGTGCTGTGTGTTGTGTGCACGCCGCCGAGCTATTCTCTTAGCAATGCTGCCGTGTGGGCTAGGGGCCCAAGCGTAAGCGCGGCAGGGGTGTGTCAACGGGAGTGTTGCGTGGCCCCGTCCTCGCTTGGGTGGAGCTGTCCTCGTGGTTGGTTGCACGGGAAGATGCAGCCGACCTGCAGCAGTGGGCACGGGGGCCACTGCAAGGGCGTTGTGTTGGGGGGCGCCTGGCTGGAGGGCGCCGAGCAGGTGGACGCCGTCCTTGGCGTCTGGACGGCGTCCTGGGCGTCTGCTCGGCGTCCTGGGCGTCTGGACGCCGTTCTGGGCGTCTGCTCGGCGTCCCGGGCGCCTGGACGCCGACCTGGGCGTCTGCTCGGTGCCCCGGGCGCCTGGACGCCGACTTGGTCGAGTGGACGGCGTCCTGGGCGAGTGGACGCCGACCTGGACGCCAGGACGCCGACCTGGGGACGCCGGGATTGATGTAGCCGTCGTCCGACTGGGCTGGACGACCAGGCACGTTGCCCGGTCGACCGGGATACCCGGGCGACGTGTGCGAAGAGGGTCACTGGGGAGGTTTCTGCGAGGACGACCTCGGGGGTGGTATCCCGAGGTCGACGTGGCTGATGTGTGCCGTCACAGGCAGGAAATGTTTGCGCTGGGCACGTGACGATGAGTTGGACGCCAACCAGCCGTGTTAAGAGAACTAGGCAAGAATGGATGAACTAGCAGAAGTTTTGGGTACAAATATGAAACCCTAGTTGGGGTTGTACCCCATATTGGCTACCCCACTACAGCCTACAAGCATAATACAGTTTAACACACCCCCATAGGCAAAGTGGGGGAGAACAAAGGGTCACAAGACCAGTCCAGCAAAGCAAAGCAAAGCCCAGGGTGGATCACAACGTCACCACACTCCGAGCACAAGTAAAGGCCACAAGGCCAGTTCACATGCAGTGCTAGATATAGTACAAGACAAGCAACACAGTGATCAAAACCTAGCAAGCAAGCAACAAGATATATATAAAGTACAGTACAAAGAATGTCAAGCAGTGAGCAAGTGAGGAAACGTGGACACAAGGCCTAAAGAAGTACAGTGCCGCTGATGATCACTAGGCGGGAGCGCCTTGGTGAAGATATCAGCAGTGTTGGCCTTCGAGTCCACGTACACAAGCCGAAGCTGACCGCGCTGCTGAAGCTCTCGAGCAAGAAAGTAGCGAAGAGCAATGTGCTTCGTCCTGTGCTCCAGTCTGTGCTCCTGACACAAGGCAAGAGCCGCCTTGTTGTCACCGTACAGAACTGGAGGAGAACTAGGCCGCTCTCCCAAGTCAGTCAGCAGGTAGGTGAGCCAGCGTAACTCCTGTGCAGCCATGGCTGTGGCGTAGATCTCAGCCTCACAACTAGAGCCGAGAACAGAGGAAGAGCGGGTGGACCGCCACGAGACAGAACCAGAGCCAAGGCTGAAGGTGTAACCCTGTGACGACCGCTGCGTAGCCAGGTCGTCCACCCAAGAAGCGTCCGAGTGACCAGTGAGGACAACTCTGTCGTGTCCTCCAAGCACCAGCCCCATGCCTGATGTACTGCACAAGTAACGCAGCACCCTCTTAGCAGCCTCCCAGTGCTCTCGCCTGTGTCTCCCAGGTGCAACGTAACGAGCAAGGATGCTAAGAGGGTACGCGAGGTCAGGTCGCGTGCAAGTCATCAGGTACATGAGGCAGCCTACAAGCTCTGGGTACGGGCCACTCGGCTCTACGGACTCGTCCGAAGGTGGAGCTGAGAGCGAGTGGCTGGTAGCCAGAGGTGTGGCCTGTGGTGAGGAGAACTGGAAGCCGAAGCGCTGAAGGACCTGCTGCACCATGTGTGACTGAGTCAGGGTGATGGTGCGGCGAGCTCTGTCCCGGGTGATCTGCAAGCCAAGGTAGCTACGCAGTTCACCCAGGTCAGTGCAGGTGTGTCTCTTCTGCAGCTCCGACTTCACACGAGCGAGTGCCTCAGTGTCAGCAGTAGCAAAGACCAAGTCGTCGACGTACACAAGAATGTAGAACGGCGGCAGCGACGTGTCTGTGCGCAGAAACAGCGACGGGTCAGCAGTAGACGGCGCAAACCCAAGAGCCGCAAGTGTAGTCCTCAGTGTGTCGTGCCACTCACGTGGCGCCTGGCGGAGACCGTAGACTGGCCGGCGGAGGCTCCACTGGGTACCAGGAGGAAACGACCCAGTAAAGCCAGGTGGGCGGCGCAGCCAGATCTCCTCGTGCAGGCTGCCCTGCAGGAACGCTGTGCTGAAGTCAAGAGAGTGAAGCTCGTAGTCACGCTGAGCAGCAACGTGCAGCAGAACCCGAAGAGTGGTCATCTTCGGGGTGGGGGAGAAGGTCTGGAAGAAGTCGACCCCCTGACGCTGACTGAAGCCTCTAGCAACGTAACGAGCCTTGAAGACAGGCGGAGAACCTGGCGGCCGCTTCACCCTGAAAATCCACATGCCATCGACGATGTTCGCCCCAGGAGGGGGAACCTCGTCGACGTAGGTGCCTGTGGACTTCCAGGATGCCATCTCTGCGTCCATGGCTGTCTGCCACTGAGAGGAGTAGGGACCCGAGATCGCCTCTGCGTAAGTGCGCGGAGTGGGGATGTCTAGTGCATCCGGGTCTCCCTCAGGGGCAAGCAACCAGGCCACGAGATGAGGTACAGCAGCCGCGAGAGAGTCAAAGTCCTCCTGCCTGTCCTCAAGGACGTCCGTGCCAAGAGCACACTCACCCCTGACGGACGGAGGACAGACAGACGCAGACGCAGACTCAGCAACAAGACTAGCAGCGTAGTCTAGACGACAGGCAGCAGCAAAGTCAACCAACTCAGCGACTAGAGCAGACGCAGCCGAGGACTCAAAGGTAGGGTCAGTGACAACAGTAGCTAGGAGACGGGTGACAGTAGGGTGCTCAGCACGATACCGGTCAGACTCAAGGTCCGGAACGTCAGGCAAAGAGGACGCAGGAGGAGACGGTAGAGGGACACGCTGAGGAGCAGTAGAGGGACGCAGAGTCATGTAGTGAGTGCCTGGGACAGGAGGAGGACGCTCACGACGGACACGACGACCAGTGCGAGCAGTGCGAACAGGCGACGCAGGGCGAGACTCAGGCTCACGACGCTCTGTAAGACCTCCTGTGGGACCAGTGTAAGGAGAGGGAGCAGGGAGAGGTGAGGTAGGCGGTAACTGTGACTGCGGCTGGACAGGCGGGAGACACCCTACGGAGGGAGGAGGACAAGGAGGAGGAGCCTGCCCAAGAACCTGCTGAAGGAGCGGTACGAAGTACGGCCGCGGCCGCGCAGCGTCTCCAGAAGCAGAAGAGACTCCAGCGGCCGGGTCCTCAGCACCAGCAGGAGCTCCAACGTCCGGGTCCCCAGCACCAGCAGCAGCGCCACCGCTCGGGTCCTCAGCTCCAGCAGCAGCTCCACCAGGTGGGTCCGCAGCACCAGCAGCAGCACCACCCCCAGGGTCCGCAGCACCGCTAGGAAGAGCACCCCCAGAGTCGGCAGCTCCAACTCCACTAGTACCGCCAGCTCCAGAGGCCCCAGCTCCAGCAGCTCCAGTCGTAGTGCTCCCAGAACGACCAGTCCCGGCAGCTCCAGTACCCCCAGTACGAGCACCCCCAGGACGAGCAGCTCCAGCACCCCCAACTCCAGTCGAGGCACTAGGACGGCGAAAGCGCCTGACGTACCAGTCACGAAGCTGCTGCGGTGTGAGAGACTGCTCAGCACCCCGAACCGGAGCACCCCCAGACACAGCAACCCGAGGCTCCGTAGGCTCAGTAGCAGCACCCCCAGGCTCAGTACCCGCAGGCGCAGCACCCCCAGACTCAGCACCCCCAGACTCCGCACACGCAGGCTCAGCACCCCCAGTCGCAGCACCCCCAGGCTCAGCACCCCCAGGCGTAGCACCCCCAGGCTCAGCACCCCCAACTCCAGCACCCGCAGTCCCAGCACTCCCAGGCCCAGCACCCGCAGGCTCAGCACCCCCAGGCTCAGCACTCCCAGCAGTACCACCTGCAGCAGCACCTGAGTCACCTGTGACCTCGACAGGCTCAGCGACGGGAGGAGGGTCTACCTGAGAGACACCTGAAGGAGCAGGACCCTGAGGGGGAAGGGGGTCTACCGGAGGGGGACCAGGAGCAAGGAAAAGCGGCGGGGGAGGGAGGGGGGCAGTGCGGTAGGGGAAGAGACGGTAAAAAGGGACCGACTCGTCAAAGGTGACATCCTGAGAGGCGAAGACCCGGCGCGAGGTGGGGTGGTAAAACTGCCAGCCAGGCGCGTCAGGGACAAAGCCAAGGAAGACACAGGGAAGCGTGCGGGAGGAGAGCTTGTCCGCGGACGTATCGCGGACAAGGGCACGAGCACCCCACACCCGGAAGCGCGACGCATCGCCAACCTCCCCCGTCCAACGCAGTGTGGGCGAGGTCTCCGGCAAGGAGACACGGGGCCAGAGGTTGAGCTGATGCGCGGCGTACCGGACAGCAAACGGCCACAGAAAATGGGGAGCCGCCGCGTGGACCAAGGAGGTACGAGCGACCTCCATGACCAGACCAATGCGGCGCTCAGCAACCCCATTCTGCTGTGGGGAGTCCGGAAGCGTGAAGGTCTGCTCGATGCCCTCCGCCTGACAGAAGGTCCTCAAGAGATCGGAGGAGAACTCACCACCTCTGTCAGAGTGCAGACGCAGGACAGGAAGATCCGTCCGGAAACGGCGGCGGAGCTGGAGACGAACTGTGCGGATCCAAGGGATCAGAACAGCAGGGACCTCACCCTTGGTGCGCAAGGGGAAGACCGTGGTGTAACGCGAGTAGTCGTCGACAACCAGCAAA